CCCATCTCCAGTCTTCACTGTTGGTATGGTGTTTGTGGGGTGATGTGCAGTGCCATTTGGCCTCCAAACATGGTGTGTATTATGGTATCCAAAGGGTTCAATTTTGGTCTCATCTGACCAGACTATATTCTCCCAATATTTCATAGGCTTGTCTAAATGTTGTGCAGCAAACTTTAAACAAGCTTCAAAATGCTTTTTTTTCAGCAATAGAGTCTTGTGTGGCGAACGGGAGTACAGGACATGGCGGTTGAGTGCATTACTTATTGTTTTCTTTCAAACAATTGTACCTGCTAATTCCAGGTCTCTCTGAAGCTCTCGACAAGCAGCCCTTGGCTCTTGGAGAACTCTTCTGATAATTACTTTCACTCCTCAGAAATCTTGCGAGGAGCATCTGGTTGTGTCTGTCTTATGGTGAAATCATGTTCTTGCCACTTTCGGATTATAGTCCGAATAGTGCTCACTGGAACATTCAGAAGTTTAGAAATCCTTCTGTAACCAATACCATCAGTACATTTTGCAGCAATAAGGTTGTGAAGGTCTTGAGAGCTACTTGCTTTACCCATCATGAAATGTTTCTTGTGTGCAACCTTGGTAATGAGACACCTTTTTATAGGCCATCAGTTGAGACTGAACCAGCTGATATTAATTTGCACTGACAAGGGGCAGGATTGCTTTCTAATTACTGATAGATTTCAACTGGTGTCTTGGCTTTTCATGCCTTGTTGAACCCCCTTTTTTCATGTGTTCAACACTTTTTCCCTGTATCATTCCATTTTATTACACAACTTAATTTCTGAACGTATTTGTTTTGGTTTCTCTGTATGTATGGATTGCAAGGGTTGTTACTGACATGTGGTGAAAATTTCATGCCAACAGCAACTTTAGAAATCTATTTACCTAGAAAAATGGTGACGTGTTCAATATCTAATATATATATATATATATATATATATATATATATATATATATATATATATATATATATATATATTAATTTTTAAGGGTTCTAAATAATTTTCTAGCAAAAAAAAATGCTGCTTTTTACTTGTAAACAAAAAAAAGTGTCAGAATAGACCTGGTCTTCAAGTGGTTAAGGCCTTATGCACACAGGGCATTTGCCCAGCTCCTCTGAATGACTTTTCTCCTGGCAGGAGAAAAGCAGCTTAAAAAAAACACCTAAAGCTGTGCAAATGTTTGGGCATTCATTCTACCGGCCAGAATGTACATTTATTCTGGCCAAGCACCAAACATGCCCAGCATTTAGATATGTTTACACGTGTTTAAATACGCCAAGCATTCTTTTTGCCCAGTGCGCATAAGGCCTTACAACTAAAGCTGGCCACAGATGAATCATTTTCTTTCTTTTTCATCAAACTAGTGGGTTGAACCAAAAAAAAAAAAAAGACTTGATTCCCGAATCCACACAATCTATGTGGATAGGGGAAATCCTCCCCACTACGCTATTATATTTGGACAGCTAAGAAACCTCCCTCCCATCAGAATACACTGATCAGCACTGCCAGGTATAGCCAAGAGCATCGACTGAGCGGCAAAAATCCAACAGGGTGGTTGATCGACTTCTGTACCCACCCTGCCCATATATGGATCAAAATTTGGCCAGTCCCTCCTGAACCGGTTGAATTTTTGATCCATGTATGGCTGACTTTGTTAAACCCATGTTATCACCATGTTTAGTTGCCATGGTGATAACACAATTAGGAACAGATCAGCATGGTTTGTTATAATTGTGAGATAAAATTGTTAGTGACAATAAAGTCTTTTTATTTGGAGCCCGCACTGCTTTTGGCTCCAAATTCCACCAGAAAACATTGATAACAATCCCCTACTCCAGTATACCAATGCTGCGGAATATAAACATACAGATTGCAGGAAAAGAAGTTAAGGATATGTGCAGTCCTGTAAGTGCAGGCTACTTACCTCAAGTACACATAATTCACACCAGAAAGCTTACAGATTTATGCTCCTAAAACTACAGTGTGAATGATTGTACAATGCTTGATTTTCTGCAGCGGTCTGTATCTATGAAGGAATTGAACCACTTATAGAGGTCTTATATTTTAAACACTCAAACAGTAAAGTGGGCTGGAAAAAAAAAAACCAAAAAAAACACATTTCCCCATCCACACAAGTGAGATTGATGAAGGCATTGAAGACTGAATACAATATAACCTATTCAATTAGCTCTACCACTAAAAATAAATAAATAAATCAGATTTGCCATTCAACATGCTACACAATTATTATGAAGGCAGGTAGAACAGATTTTCATTGAGTACTTTTTTAGTTTGCTATGCTATAATATCATGATGATATTTTACAAACCATTAAAATGCTCATTACCTGTATCTTACCAAGTACATTCAGTATTCTTTCTGAATGAATACTTCATGAAACGCATCAACAGGACAAGCAATTGGGAGAATACTACATTCAGCACAAGTCTATCAGAGCCTTGACTGACGGCTTGCACTGAGATTAGACAACTAGCAAATTCAAGCACTCTTATGCTGCACAATTGAACACATGTGTAAACGCAAGCACAATAACCAAAAGCTCTGCTTTAGGACTTTCAGAAGAGCCACTTCACTGTGGGTGTCAGTATGATTGCAGGTCTGTCCCTATCATCCAACACATCCCACAGAAAAGAGGTTTCTACCACACTCCATAAGAACATTAAATTAAACTTATCAAATATAAAAGTTGCATCTACCCTCCTAAGCTACTTCCTCTTGTTGAGTACAGTATGAGCTTCTATGTAACATGCAAGCACAGCCAACCACAAACACAATTTTTGGATTTTACATTATGGCACACAGGATGAGTATTCAAGTACTTTGGGTAACGCAGGAGCCTTTCAGGAGATTGGACACTGGCAATTAAAGCTGGAAGAACAGCATGAGTATAATCCCTTCCACTCCCAGTGTGCCCCAGTTTGGTAGCATGCAATAGTAGGTGGATAGTAGGTGGATCATAAGAAAAAGGGGTAGGGATCGATGTGCCATAATGTGCTCCAAGAAAAGGACTTAAAAGGGAAGTCAAAAATCCTATTAATCCTTAATTGTAAATTAAAGAACACAGGACCAGTATTCAGGAACATTAAGAAGTTCAAAAGTAATCCAAATTAAGGGTGGGCAACAGAGCATACAAATGCTAAAAGGCCTACAAAAACTAATAGGTTAACAGAAGGGGCTCAGTAGAGCTCACAGAGTCTTCAGAGACTGAAGATGAGGTCTGAACATCTACATGGTAAAACTTAAACGTGTGAACTGAAGACCAGGTGGCAGAAACAGATGCCCAATGCTGAAAGCCCATGAAGTACCAACTGCCTTAGAGGTATGTGCTTTGACATAGAAAAGTGGAACATTGTCCCCGGGACTGTAAACTTGAATGAAATGACAAATCAACCCTGAGATTGTAGAACGAGCAGGTTGTCCACTACAAAGTATATCAAGAAAGAAGAAAAAAGTCAGTCTGTCTAAAAAAAAGTTCTACCTCAAGAGACACACTTGAACAGCACATACCGCACCCAAACCAGCGAAGGTAAATCTCTTTGGGATGTCTCAGAGCAGGACATGCCCAAGGAAGGCAACCTTGTGAGTGAAAGTAGACCAGGGAATATACAGTACCTGACTGATTCATAGTGCAGTTTCTTGAGAAACACAAAACCAAACTGAGACAGGGAGAAATTTACACAACATCCTGGACAAAGGCTTTTTACTAACGATTGAGAGGCAAATGGCCCTTGAAAAGGAATAACTAGAGGAGAAATAAAAAGACATTATTTGTGTCTCCCAAAGCAGAGAGAAGACATCCATTTTCCTAAGGAAACTAGCAAAAGAAACCCCTAAGCGTATGGGAATGGGAGGGGTTGTGCTGGGCTGTCCATGTTTGTCAGTTTCCAATCTTCTAAAAGGCAGCTGCATAACCCAATGATCCTAGATATATACAATACAGAGCTACAAACCAACAAGAAAATCTTGGTGCAAAATATAGAAGGGATAAATAAATCTATGCTAAAAATCCCCAGAGTGCATAGGCATTAGGTGAAATTACCAGAGGAGTATTGTTTTTTAATTATATCAAGTTGAAATATAGGTTTCCTGTCCCTTTAAGCCACATTTCTGCTAAAAAGCTAAATACAAATATGTGAAGTGTGTTACCTAAAAAAATCTGTCATTCCTTTCTGCACCTCTTCTGATAATCTCTCAATGTCCCCAATGCATAGCCAGGACAATGACAGTACTATTCGCTGTAGTAGCTTCGGGTGTCATCCGCCAGCTCATTGGACTAGAAACAGCACAATCCTGCTCTGCAGGTCTTCTTTGTTCTCCTATAAGCTGTCTGAACATTCCCACTCCAGCTACAAATGCCTGAAAACATGCTTCACTGGTAGCCAATGCAACAAAGGTTGAAGTTCATTTCTTTCCACTCTCTAATATCTGCTGTGCAGAGAGATGATACTACAGATACTGACATTTAGGTTAAATAAACAACAGTTATACTTTCAGAAGCGTTTATCATCAGAAGTGAAGAAACATCATCATTCTAACATCACTAGAGAACCAAAACAGGTTATATGATTTCTGCTATTATATGACGTTTGTAAGATTGCCACAAAAAGTTTCTGGCCTGACACCTGTAAAAATCATTCTACGGTCATCTTTTTTTATTTATTTTTACATAAAATGATATAGAGAAGAAAATCTAAGAAGAATTATCACTGTTTTACATAATTCAATTCCTGATGGGAGTCGGAGACAAGCGCTTGCCATCAAAGCTTTCTACTTGCACCTAGGAAGATGGGACAAATTACTACACGTGCTTTGTACCATCATCTAAATAATGCACCATAAACATAGGCTATAAACATTTACCTTATTCCAAAGTATTTTTGTAAGTGTATATAAAACTCCATGAATGCGTAGTTATGATGCAATAACAAAAATAAAACGCATCAGTATTAGGGATATTCAGTATTGAGGAAATGTACACTTACTCAGTGTGACCTTGGAAAACATTCACAGAATGTATTGATGGGTCTCGAAAATCCCACAGGCGGAAGGTTGTATCTCGGGAAGACGTCACCACCAGGCGTTGTGTGGGATGAGTACAGCAATGGGTTAATTCCTGGTCATGACCTTAAATAGAAAATACCTTATTTATGGATCCATTAATTAAATTCTACAAAAGATAAACATACTTTTGCTGCATCAGCTTAGGTTCAGTAATTCTGAGAAACCAATCCAAATAATTTAATTGCAAAGAATATATAAAGCCTGCATTTTCAAAATTATAAATCTGGACCAGTGGTCTCCAAACTGCGGCCCTTTGCTTGCTTTTATGCAGCCCTTGGGGCACTATCCCTCCCACTGACACAAACGATTGAGCATTATTCCTCCCAGTGACATCAATGATGGGACACTATTCCTCCCACTGGAATGAACATCCTGCCCACCCTAAGGTCAGAAGGACAGTAAACTGGCCCTTTGTTTATAAAGTTTGGAGACCCCCTGAATTAGACCTTTCTGTGGTACTTTCAATAAATACACAACTGACACAAAAGGTGATACATTAGTTTTACCACCCACCTAACATAATTACAAATATAAATATCAGATGTGGCCCTTTGCTTGCCTTTAGCCTCTTCTAAGGGCACAATTCCTTCCAGTGATACAAGGTACTATTTCCCTACAGGGATGACACTACTAGCCAGAAGGCTTCTGTGGGGAAACTGCATGTGATTTGGACAGGAGTTGCATGCTGTTCTTTGCGCTGCAACTTACGATCCATAAGACTTTTAGATGCATGAAAAATGTAGCCACTCAGAATTGCTATGACTAATATTGCTGTACATGAATAACACAATTGCTATCCTACCTGTAAGAGAATGGACCAGCTCAGATGTCTCTACGTCATACAGGTTGGCTGTTCTGTCCCAAGACGCAGTGACTGCCTGCTTGCCACCAACCAGCCAATCTGCTGCTATGACCACTCCCTGATGGCTTTTTTAGTGACGTGATGGGGACTCTGACATTGGGACAATCACTCGAAATATCTCCATCCTGTCAAGCTCATCTTTATCTGAAAAATCCACCTCTTCTTCTCCAGAAATCTGCTAAAATAAATCACATAACTCAGTGTTACAGTAAATAGTATACATATAATTTTGTTATTTCTGTTTAAAATGGAACAGTTGCCCAAAGCAGTCAGATGCTTCCCCCCCCCCATCTTGCAAGAAAATACTAGCTGGCATCAAAGTGGGTGCTATGGGGACACGTTCGCATGATTTCATATGTACCACCATAAATAAAAGGGTATTCTTAAATTAAAAAAAAAAATAATATGAGAGGGAGAGAGGGAGAGGGGGGAGAGAGGGAGAGAGAGAGAGGGGGGGGAGGGGGGGAGGGGGGAGAGAGGGGGGGAGAGGGGGGGGGGGGGAGAGGAGGGGGTGGAGAGGGGGAGAGAGAGAGAGGGGGGGGGGGAGAGAGGGGGGGGAGAGAGAGGGGGGGGGGAGAGAGGGGGGGGGGAGAGGAGGGGGGAGAGAGAGAGGGGGGGGGGGGGGGGGGGGAAGAGAGAGAGGGGGGGGGGTGAGGGGGGGAGAGAGAGAGAAACAAACAAATCCCTGTGAATTTTACTATATCTCTAATTGAAGTGATTGTAAACCCATTTTTTTCCTTAAACTAACAATCATGTCATACTTACCTGCTCTGTGTAAAGGTTTTGCACAAAGCAGCCCCAATCCTCCCCTTCTCAGATCCACCGTCAGCACTCCTGGCTCCCCCTCCCCATCAAGTGCCCACCATAGCAAGCCGCTTGCTATGGGGGTACTCGTGTGGGCTCACTGCCAAGCCAGCTCAGTGTGACCATAGACACAGAGAGATTGGTTCAGACCTGCCCCCCGCTCCTTCCCTTCCTCGCTGGCTGTGATCTGGCTCAAGTACAATGGTGTTCAAAATAATAGTGTGTTTACAAAAGTGAATAAAGCTCAAAATCCTTATAGTAGCTTTGATTTCCATACAGAAAAATGCATTGGGACCACTGCACAGTCTATTCCAAATGAAAACATGAAGAAAAAGTTTTCAAATTTGTTATTACTTTACAGAAAGTGACAAAAAAGGAATATTAGGCTGTTCAAAAAGATGTCTGCATTTTTCTTTACAAACGTAAACATTTACTGTATAAACTGAAAAATGCTTGAAGATTTAGCTTTCCTGTGAATCACTGAATATCTAGTTGTATAAGCACTGTTTCTGAGAGCTGCTTCACATCTGTGTTGCATGGAGTTGACTGACTTCTGGCACCTGTAAACAAGAACTCCAGCCCAGGACAATTGCACTGCATTCCACAATTCCTCTGCATGTCTTGGTTTTACCTCAGAAACAGCATTTTTGAGGTCACTCCACAAGTTTTCTATTGGATTAAGATCCGGGGATTGGGCTGGTCACGCCATAACGTTAATCTTGTTGGTCTGGAACCAAGATGTTGCACGTTTCCTGGTGTGTTTGGGGTCGTTGTCTTGTTAAAACAGCCATTTCAGGGGCATTTCCTCTTCGGCATAAGGCAGCATGACCTCTTCAAGTATTTTGATGTATTCAAACTGATCCATGATCCCCGGGGTGTGATAAATAAGTCCAACACCGTAGTATGAGAAACATCCCCATATCATGACGTTTGCACCACCATGCTTCACTGTCTTCACAGTGTACTGTGGCTTGAATTCAGTGTTTGGGGGTCATCTGACAAACTGTCTGCGGTCCCTAGACCCAAAAAGAAATCTTATTTTCATCAGGCCACAAAACGTTGCGCCATTTCTCTTTAAGCCAGCCAATATGTGGCAAATTGTAACCAATTCAGCACGTTGTTTTTTTCAACAATGGGACTTTGCGGAGACTTCTTGAGGATCACTTAGCTTCACATAGACATCTTCTAATTGTTACAGTACTCACAGATAACTTTAGACCTTCTTTGATCACCCTGGAGCTGATCATTGGCCCAGCCTTTGCCATTTTGGCTATTCTTCAATCCGTCAAATGGTAGCTTTCCATTTTCTTCCATGTCTTTCTGGTTTTGGTTGCCATTTTAAAGCCATTTGAGATCATTCTAGCTGAGCAGTTTCTGTACTTCTTTATATGGTTTCCCCTCTCCAATCAACTTTTTAGTCAAAGTACGCTTTTCTTCTGAACAATTTCTGGAAAGACCCATTTTACCCAGACTTTCAGAGAGAAATGCACGATACACAGCATGTACAACATTTTCTGTCTTCGTACTTACATAACGGCCACCTGTTTGACACCTGTTTTTTTTCACAGACTGAATGACCTCACTGCTATTATTTTGACATGCCCCTTTCAATTAATGATTCAATTACACAGAATCAGCAGCATGCATGTCATTCATGACTGTTGGCTTTTTATTACTATACTACACCTACTAGTAAATGATTTGCCATGTAGAAAAATAATTTATACAAAAAAAACAGTGATTGATCAGGTTAGTGATGTTGGACTTCTATTATTTTGAACACAACTAAGTTCAGAAGCATTTTTTACAACATTGTAAAATATAATACTGTTCTTACTTTGTGTACTGTAGTTTATTACACCCTTGAACCTTTGGGCAGTAAGAATAAATACTTAAAATTCTTCAGAATACAGGCTAGACTGCTATATGCTCACTGCAACTGCTTCCCCTTCCAGTGTGAACATTCAGAATTTCTGCACGTGAATTGGAGAGCATCCCAACCATGGTGGGGTTTCTGTACTGATCAGCCTTTCATTCCAAGAACACCATCCAACATAAATATGAGGTGTATTTCTAGACTAAATAGCTAGAGTACAGCTGCCCATAGAAATAAAAAGCTTTACACTGGTTTCTGCACATGTGCACAGGGTATACATCCATTCATTTGCAAAACTTTATGTACAGCCATACATTACTATGGCAGGCTGCTCCCATCTGTGTTTTCCGGGCACGGAAATTTGCTCACAATTTACAACGGATGCCTGAAAGTGTCCATGTGCATGAGGCCTATCAACATTTCTCCTAGCATCAAAAATCAGGTCAATTTTGGTGTATTTTGGTATCATCTCTGCATTGCAAATTTTGCTCAACTTCAGTGCTGCTTGGACCTAAAAGATGGAGGTAGACAACCAAAATCTTGCCTCAACTCCACAACTGTAAGCAAAACTGCTTTTTTTTTTTTTTTTTTTGCTGTGTCCTTTTAAGATTTCCCTACCCTTTCTGTCAAAAAATGAAGTGATTAGTAAACTCTACAATCTCTGTGCTAAAGGACCTCTCTGAGAATGCTAGTTGCCTGGCTGTCATGTTAATTCAATGGCTTCAATACTTTGCAGCTAAGCAGCTCTGACTTCGCAGGCTGTGTGTCCAAAGGGCAAAGAACAGACAGTCAGCAGGATAGGATTTGCTGCATTAAGGAATGTGCATAACAAGCTGTAATAATGTTTAATAACAGATCCACCCCAAGGCTTGTACTCTTTTTAAGCTATCTTCCTCATGTCAGAGAAAATATATGCCAGCAGATATAATCATGTGGTAACTGAAACAAACATCACTACATCACGTATCACCGTAGTCTGCTACCCCCAGGATAATGTCTTTATTTCAGTGGCGAGCTTACACTGGTGTCTGCCGTTGGCTGTGGAGTGGGTAACTGCACCACGTAGCGCCAGATGTGAGCTGTCTGGTCCCCAGATGCTGCAAGACAGAAAACAGAGCCAAAACACATTCTTCAGTGTAAATACAAATTTTGTTTCATATATTCCTATATATGCTCCTTGCACCCCCCCCCCCCCCCCCCCGTTCATCTTCTATGCCAACCTAGGATATTATAGCAGCCAGGAATGCAAAGGAAATAACACTGCATAATGCCAATACATCAGAAAAAAAGTTCTGTTGACAATTATCAATTATCAAGTAGTCAAGGGTATCTGAAAATTCATGGTGGTGGCTCTCATATGCCCATTTGCTAAGCCCAGCATTTATTTGTCCACATTGCTAGCAAATAATCATGGAGCCTGCTGTGAAGAAGTTGGATAGTCTGTCTTACAGATGATGTATAAAGCTGGCCAGATGGTCGAATCCCTGCTGAACCGGCCGAGATTCCAACCATCTATGGGCAGGCTGATTGTTTCATGCCATTATTGCCAGTGGCTATAGCCGCTAGTAATAATCACTGTGTTCTCCCGGCACCGATGGCTCCCCATCGCCAGGAGAACACAAAAGCTCCGTGGAAGAGATTCCCCCATCAACACCGTGTTGATGGAGGAATCAAACGGTTTTTGACCACCCAAAACGCACTCTCCGCTCCTTACAGGACCTCCTTCTCTCTAGTTCCCTGGTCTCCTCCTCCCATGCCCGCCTCCAGGATTTCTCCAGGGCATCACCCATCCTCTGGAACTCCCTACCCCAATACATCAGACTATCACCTACTCTCCTCTCCTTTAGGTGCACCCTGAAAACCCACCTCTTCAGGGAAGCCTACCCCGCCCTCTGCTAATTGCCGATCTCCTCCACTCTTCCTACCACTCCATCCCCCACAGCTTTTCCTCCTGTACCACTATCCCCTCCCTCCTAGATTGTAAGTTCAAAGGAGCAGGGCCCTCGAACCCCTCGTGTATTGCACTATTGTTATTGTACTGTCTCATGTATTGTCTCCCATTGTAATGTACAGCGCTGAGCGAACTGTTGGTGCTATATAAATACTGTATAATAATAATAATAATTTTCTTTCCTGCAACCCGTGGTTGCAGAAAAGAAAATCATATAGGTCTATGGACAGCTTAAGGCCTCTGATGTCAGGAGGATTGTTATGCAATGTGACTGAATGTACTTGAACTACTGTATATAATGTACAGCACAATGTACAGAGTGAGGAGCTATGCAGTATAGCATGTACAACACTTATAACAGATGTTACTGCTGTGGAAGTCTGTCAAGCTTGCCAACAGTAAAATCAGAATAATAGAAAGAAGGAGGAGAGAAATCAAGTTCATTACGGATACTACAAACAACTAAGAATGTCCATAACTAGCCCATTATTCGCGAGTATATGTCATCAAAACCTACAGTCCCCCAGTCTATGCAGAAACCAGACAGAAAAAAAAAAAATGAACAATTCCTTTCTTTATTCTACAATACTAACAGTAGACAGATCATTTCCCCATCTATAACACATTTTACGTGTGCAAATTAAATTTATTGTGGTGCTTAGCTCAAGGAAAGTCCAGCTATGTTAAGCCTATGACCCCATATACTGTACTTTTCTGGAATTTTAGCATACTTTACTGAAGATTTTGGACAATATCTCTAAACTGTGAAGATTGATGATGTCAGAACAACTGTTGAAATATTTTATAATGAGCCTCAGCTGACAGGTTTTGCAGAGTTGTTTGAAACAGTGAAGGACCAGTAACACTTAGATGTATGGATCCTGTGCAAATAGTTCTTTGGAGTTGCAATAAATCTTTCTAATGAATGTAGCCACCTAAAGCGCAATAAATATGAATGCATCTCGAAATACCCAAACTAAATTAAAGCTATATTACACACACAGGTATTTTTTCTATGAGTTTATCATACTTTTTATGCATTCATATTAAATGCCAATGGAGAAATATACACAAGCTGACCTGAAAAGTCCATGTACATTAGCTGTTACTATAATGGGACTTCCCTATCCCATTTGAAGTCATGCAGGCATAGCCATCCACCTACTCAATTTTCAGAGAAAATTCTGCTCCTGCTCCCTCCTTTGTAAAAAAAAATAAATCACCTTGAGATAAGCCTGTATATGCGCGATTATATACAGTAGGGAAACCTGATTTCATTTCAATACCTGCACTCAGATATTTGAATTTCAAAGCAGGAATAAAAAGGCAATATTTAATCCACCTTTAGAATCAATAAAGGGCCCTTAAATGGTGAGAGTTGCCATGGCACAAAGTGGGTAAATGGTTTGTTTTTGCAAGTATGTTTATAGGCATGAACAGAGGGGGGCACACATTTTATTACTTCTGTCAAAAACTGTCAAATGTATCTTAAGCAAGTACATTTTAGCCTCCTAAACCAGGGGTCTCCAAACTTTTCAAACAAAAGGGCCAGTTTACTGTCCTTCAGACTTTAGAGGGGTTGGATTGTGGCTAATGGGGGTAAAAAATGTCCCAGGCCGGCGTCAGTGAGAGTAAACATTACCTCAGGGTTGGTGGTCTGTTACAAAGTGCCTGTGGTTAGTGAATAGAGGAATAGTGCTGCTGCTGCTGACAGGGAGAAATCGGGGGCTCTTACAAGCAGCCCACAGCTGACCTCTTCCCTGTCACAGTACAGTGGCCCCACCATGCCGTCCGGTAGGAGAAGAGGTGGAGCCAGTGAGGAGAGTGTGTACAGAGTCGGCAGAGCACCCGGCTACACATAAAATACAATTTCAGAAATTATACAAAGCTGCGATACTTGCCTGTTAATGCAATTTGATCAGTGGGATGAAATTTTATTGAGTTCACTGCAAAATAAAAAACATTAAAATTACTTTGTGAAAGAAAATCACTAAAGCATTAAAATGCTACAAAGGTAATAGGCACAATATTCAAAAATGAACCACAGCACAAGGTAACAACTAAGAACCACTAAGTCATATGGGTCTGGTTATAGAAAATATGTTCAAGACAGGCTCTTTTTCTCTTTATTCGGAGGCCCCAAGCTTAGCTCAATGCATGCGCAAGATCCTGCTAGTACAATTATCTTTCAAATGTAACTCCAGCCAAACCCAGATAGAAAGGGGAAGGGGGTTACAACTGGTGTCCCTACAAGGAAGATGTCCCCTCAGTCCCTATCCCAGTAACCAAACATTTTTTGCATAATGGTTAATACTTCATTAGTATTGGATATCAGTTTATTTTTTTTTACCTGATCCAGCATGGCCGACATACTTGGTAAGGCATTTTCCTGTTTCAATACTCCAGAGTAATGCTGTGTGATCTGTAAGAACAAAAAATACAAGATGGTGTACAAACAAAATACAAAATAATATGAAATCAGATCTCTAAATATTATAAAGGAAACCTGTGATCATGTAAAAGTTGACCTTTTGGAACATGTTACATGTTCCACCAGTAATTAGGGTTGAACATGTAACATGTTCCAGCAGCTGCAGCCTACAACCCCACCGCCTCAATGACAGCAAGCGGGGATCTTCTCCCGATGCCCGCTATCAATATTTGATTTGAAATAACACGGCCGTGCAGGGCTCCGCCCACAGGGCTGCGTCGTTCATTTACAGTTTCTTGTGAATGACTTAAAGTACAAGTACCGCCAGTCTTTGTGGCTGACTGCTTGGAGTTCTGAATGGACTGCAGGATCACTGAGTGGCCTCGTTCATTGACCATCGCTGCAGCTTGTAAACAGTCAGCATGTATGCAGGTACAGGCTAACATAATTCTATGATACAAGGGACTGACACTTGTACGAAAAGATTACCATCAGTTGGGTATGCCTAGAGCATATCGAAAAACCAGCTGTTTGTGATCAGGGATAATGTATGCATACAGTATACGACAGGGATTAGCTGCTATGCAATATTATTATTCGTATTACTTTTTTTTAAAGGACAAGTTCACCATTAGTAACATGTTACAACCATATTCAGGGTGTAACATCTAACTTTTTGCAGGTTACTAAATCCCTGCCAGCAGCCGGACCCGATTCCCCACTCTAACAGCGGGCAGGGAATCCTCTCGCTCTCCTGTCAAGCCATTGTGGTTAACGGCTTGTAGTTCTCAACGAAATACAAGGGCTCTGGTGAGTGCTCTCGTAGTTCAATCATTTTGGACATCAGTAACTGCCTGCCTGTATCAGAGGTACAGGCAGACAGATATACCAACAGTCTGCAGGAGCCTGACACAGGGCTGGCAATCAGCAAAAAAATGTGCATTTATTATTTTTTTTTAAAAATAGCATCCAGCTTCCCCCCATAGCCTTAAAGGATACAGTAAGTTTACTTTTCCTAACACGGTACACCAATACACATCGCTCTACTCCGATCATCGAATCTGCCCCATGTGAAAGGGGCCTAATATAGGCTTTATTTGTGCTGTGTGACAGCTGTAGCTGTTAGCACGGGGAAAAACTGCAGCCCCGGCATGTGGGAACCACTGGCTTAGAACGCCCCCATGCTCTATGTAAAGTTGTGGTAGGCTACCAGGATTCTGCTCTCCATATAGAGTAAGAGTAAAAAATGTGATTTCCCCCCGTGACCTCTCAATGCCGCTGGTGTGAACTTTGTGAAAATAAATTTCTCCGTAACGCTCATAGCTACAGAGTTGAATGTAGACTTGTTAGAAGTGCTTTTAAAGAGCTGCTTGCTTAGCATATGTAAATACCGCCGGGCCGTTTATTGTGCATAGTCTAGCCACAGGTACATTTTTAAATAAAATACTTTATATAATTATAAGATTGACTAAAATATCATGTTATAATAGTCAATGGAAATCGTACTGAATTAAAAAACAAAAATAAAAACACCTTTAATAAAGAGCAATTACAAGTGAAAGCAATCAATAAACGTTTAGTACAGTACACTACAACAGTGCAAAATCAGACAGTTCATGTAGTTAACCTTAATCTGAGGTTCATCTATTCCCCTGCAGTTAGATGAAAACACTGCCCTTCCAGGACCAGGAGATCACTAGAGGTCTATTTTCTGAAACCTGCTCTTTGTAATGCTTTCCTTTTCTCTCTGCTTCCAACATCACCAATCACAATCACAATCAAGGCTGGGAAAAACATCTTAGTTCTGGCAAACTTAGACAAAAACATCTTAGTTCTGGCATTTTTTTTAAAATGGTGTCAGGATCAACAGTTCAAACAAAAGAGAGTGAGTTGGATCGGTGCTGTGGTGGAACAATGCCTGTATAATTAACTAAACGTATTGAGCAGGTATGCTGGTTTCCGTGTATGCATCACAAGACTTCATTTTCAAATATGATTAAAGGGTACCTATCTAGGCAAAGTACAGATCCACATTACCACTGCTCTTCCCATCAATTTATACTCGTCTTCCTTCTGTTTCCCTGGCATGCCATTCAGCAGTCAGGACAAAGGTAAAAAAGGGAAAGGGGAATACCGTGTAAGTTCCATGGTGCTCTAGTCCAGGGGTCTCCAAACTAAGGCCCTTCAGCTGTTGAAGTACTACAAGTCCCATTATGCCTCTGCATCTGGAAGTCTTGCTTGTGGCTGTCAGAGTCTTGCAAGGCCTCATGGGACTTGCAGTTCCTCAACACCTAGAGGGCCATAGTTTGGAGACCCCTGCTCTAGTCAGAGCTTATGGAGAGCTGCGGACCTTGTGATACCACCTGATAAGGATCTGCATGGTCAGATGTGATCAAGGCAGTGAGTCACATGTTCCTACTTACCCATAAGTACTGGGTGTATTGGAAAGATGAGTATATGCTGCTGGGAAGGAGGGCTGCAATGAAAACCTGTTGCTTAGAATTGCATGGACAAAGCACAGGTTTGCTTTACAGGTGTAAATTAAATGCTGCTGAAAAAAGCAAAATAAAGAAATAAAATCTCCTGTTCTTAAATGGAGAAAAATGCCTATTTGCGCATTCAGCTTGCTTAGACACAAGTTTTTGTGTTGTTGACCAGCTACATATTATGCAAATGCAATATTAATATTATTTACGCTACCCGCAGAAGCTGTGCCCAGAACCACCGGCTGTGTTCGTGTAACACTGACATCCCAAAGCCCATCTCTGTGTCCAACATACTCTTTCACCAACTGGCAGATTGCCCGAGAGGTTGTGGTCTTGAAACTGGAAACAATCTAAAAAAATCCAAAAAAAAAAAAAAATGTATATACATAAAATCATATACTTTGGAACAACAGACAAGACACTGTCAGCAAGCACAAAAAAGAAATGTTAATTAAACAACAGAGGAACACAGTAAGTAACGCACAATCTTGCAGCCAGTTTCCCTCTGGTTAGTAGGTAAATTGCAACCCAGTACCTTATATCTCCTTTATTAAGGAACCAAATCTATACAGCACACATTTAGGGAGCTTATGCCAAGTAGTAAACATGAAAAGTGATGTACATATATTACAAAGTGGCTATTTTTTTATGTATATACCTACTGGTCTGTGGCTGGTAAATAGAGTTATTTTTAGTCAAAATTTGTGAATTACTGATCAATCTTATGCCGGCCACAGGCAGTTCAAATCTCGGCCAGTTCGGCAGGGACCAGTTGAGATTCGAACCATTTATGGGCAGGCTGAATGTACCCAAGTTGAGCATATGACCAACTTGGGTTCAACCAGCCTGTTGGATTTTACATGCAATCATTGCTAGCAGCTATTATAGCCTCTAGCAGTAATCATTGTGTTCTCCCATCGGGGATTGCCCCCCCCATCCCCGGCCAGGAGAACACAATGGCTCCATGGAATAAATTTCCCCATCAACACTGCCTCTGGTGATGAGGAAATCGAGGGATTTTCTTTCCTGAAACAAAATCGCTCCATCTATGGCCGGCTTATGTTCCGCTTCTAACACATGAGTACTGATAAAAACAACAATTCCCTACTAGCAAGTAGAGGAGAGGAGATGCCTTGGCAGGACTGCTGGGTTTGCACAGGGAAAATATGAGAAGCATCATGGTCTGAAAAGGGGTTCCTTCCAATAAACAGGCACCAATTTAGGTGCCTTTGCCATTTATACAGATGTGCCATTAAGGGGCTTTCTGAACAGCTTTCCAGACAGATCCAACTACTAGGAGGCCATTATGCAGAAAAAACCTAACAAACAAGACTATATCTTGCATTTAGCCCTACTATATTGTGAATTTCACTCAGAGAGCCACAGTACACAGCAGAGCAAACAGAAGTCTAGACACTGGGCTCATCCTGCTTTTCTATGACTCCTACAGGACAAACTGGTCAAAGAATAACAAAATGAGGTTATTCTTGGGTAATGACAATAGTAAAAGAAAGAGCTCCATCAGAAAAGAGTTCCCCAGCTGTGAAGTTGCTCTGTTGAGCTCTTCCCCTTACTGCACCGTCATGTTTGCAGATTTGTGTGTCAGCGCTAATAACTTCAGTGGGAAAATCTATGGAGTGACTAACAAAGCTGGCCATAGCCATTTTGTTCAGCCAGTGGACTGAACAAAAGAATTCTAACTAATAGATTCCTCCCATCCATGCTAAACAGTGCAGATGGACAAATCCTTCTGCTGGACTATTGTATCCGGACAGACAGCTGTCAGAAAACCCACTGCAGCTGCTGTTCGGCCAGAAAGTTTTCACCAGGTTTCTTCAACAAAAGTATCAATAAAAAGGCAGACTTTTGTCAAACACAGTGGGGCCAGCAGGGCCACCCACTAAGCAAATTATAGCTGGGTCATCATGAACCATCCAAGAATTGCTTAGTGTATGGCCAGCAAGGCCCAGGTTACACAGAGATAGGAGCATGAGCTCAGAGTAGGAGGTGAAGCTCATCTTGGCAGTCAACTTATTGGTAACTTTTCGATTTTAATGTTTGACAAATAAACAATGGGTTAAGACCACAAACCTCCTCTGGAGCCATAGTTGACCATACAGTTTTAGATCTGTCATCACAACCCTTTTCTTTGGTGGTGAAGGCACTTCTTTTTGATGGGCACTTATTTCCAATATTGCACAGAGAAAACAGAGCACCACATATAAAAGCCACACACATGGCCTGATATAGCCCTTGTATAAATGCGTTTTTTATCGTTGGAGTCTGATCCATTACACTGCAGAATCTACTGGCCTTAAAAGCTTGAGCAACCCATTTATTAACTGCTCCCATTCCACTATTTGAATGCACCAATTACAGTGGCAGTCGGCACTTCAGTCTCCTTGTGTGTTGGCAAATTTCCTGAAGACTCTAGTGGAGAAGGCACCTTCTAGAGAGGTAGAAGGAAAAGCCAGAAGTTCCCATTATAGGGCTAAATATTATGCTGGCTTCCTAGAAGTCTAGTGAACTGCAGTGGAAAGATTATACCAATACAGTTAACATTTCCATCTACATTTGCAGGGATGCCACCACTACAAAGTAAAATGATGGACCAAGGTCCCACTTCTCCGAAGGATTCTAAATTATGTAGATTAAACACATAAATGGAAATCAAACTTTTTGAGCACAGCAACTTTATAATCAAAAGTGAGGAGGTGGAGAAACACAACAAAATGATCCCATTGAAAGTGGAGAGTTGTTAGTTTTGTGTCAAATTCAAAAACGTTTGAGCCCCAATTCACACCGGTGCAATCGAAGTCAAATGACAAGTCGCACCCTATTTGCGGCTATGGAACAATTCCAAATCGATGTGACCGTGAATCGCACTGATTTTGAAAAAAGGTCCTGCACTATTTTTTGGGATTTCATATGCGACTTGCATTGACATCTGTGCATGAACTTGCACAGACGTCGCCAAGCCGCACATGAAGTCACTCTGATCCACAGATTTGAAATCGCATTGAAGTGAAATTTCAAAGCCACATTTGGTGTGAACCAGGGCTGAATCTATCAATTTACAAGAAAAAGAAAAAGAATAATTAGAAATGTGACAAACATTACTGTAATAATTCAGCTGTTCAGAAATATTTTCAAGCATCAAATTTGTCAAGATACTTTTCAGAAAGAAGACTCAAAATTACATACACAATATAAAATATCAGTAATTCAGCTATGTGGCCTTCATTTCTAGCAAACCTTTTGAAAGGCTCAAACTTCAAACAGTGTGACTCACACCAAGAGTTCAGTCATCAATCTTGAATCAAGATGAAAACGTGCGACCTGAAGCTAGCATCACAGCAAAATAAAGATAAAGCGCAGAAGAAAAAATAACAGCATAACGATATAAGCAGTAAATGTATGAGCCATTAGAAATGAAGCATAAAACAAAGCCTAAAAACTACAAGAACAACATGGGACTGCAGAGTCAAGATATGTGTATTTTGTGCTTGACATATTCTACACAAATGTTTCTGTAGGCTTCTTTTAGGATATATATATATATATATATATATAAACACAAATTACTAAATGAGCCAATCACATGGCAGCAACTAAATGCATTTAGGCATCTAGACGTGGTGAAGACAACTTGCTGAATTTCAAACAGAGCATCAGAATGGGGAAGAAAGGGGATTTAAGTGACTTTGAACATGGCATGGTTGTTGGTGCCAGACAGCCTGACCTGAGTATTTAAAAAACTGCTGATCTACTGAGTTTTTCACTCACAACCATCTCTAAATATCCAGTGAGTGGCAGTTGTGTAGACAAAAATGCCTTGATGATGTCAGAGGAGAATGGGCAGACTGGTTTCTGCAACATTCAGATGGTAGGGTCAGAATTTTGCGTAAACATGAAAGCATGGATCCATCCTGCCTTGTATCAATGGTTCAGGCTGGTGGTGGTGGTATAATGGTGTGGGGGATATTTTCTTGGCACTAGCAAAGTGTACATAATAAAGTGGCCGGTGATGTATATAAATTATAGTGCATTCAGAAAGTATTCAGATCCCCTTCACCTTTTTTCAACTTTCCCATTTTGCAACTTGATACTACAGTTGCTTCATTTAAATTATTTTTTTTTCTTATTAATCTACACTCAGTACTCCATATTGACAAAGTGAAAACAGAATTATAGGAAGGTCTGTGAATTTATTAAAAATAAAAAAAATTAAATATCACATTGGCATAAGAATTCAGACCCTTTGGTGCCTCCCATTTCTCTTGATATTTGCTGAGATGTTTCTACATCTTGACTGCAGTCCACCTGTGTTAAATTCAATTGATTGCACATTATTTGGAAAGGCACACACCTCTATATAAAAGGCCTCACAGCTGGCAATGCATACTGTATCAGATCAAAGGCCATGAGTACAAAAGGAACTGCCTGCAGAGCCTGGAGACAAGATTATTGCAAGGCACACATCTGGGGAAGGCTACAAAAAATCCTGCTACACTGAAGGTTCTCAAGAGCACAGTGAACTGGATAATTCTCAAATGGAAGAAGTCTGACACAACCACAACTCCTTCAAGAGCTGGTCGCCTAGCCAAACTGAGCAATCGGAGATGAAGGGCCTTAGTAAGAGAGGTGACCAAGAACCCAATGGTCACTCTGATTGAGCTCTAGAGATCCTGTGTGGAGATGGGACAAAGTTAGAGGGCAACCATCACTGTAGCTCTCCACTGATCTGGGCTTTATGGCAGAGTGGCTAGACGAAAGTCTCTCCTTAGTTTGGAGTTTGCAAAAAAGCACTTGAAGGACTCACAGACTGTGAGAAAGAAGATTATCTGGTCTGATGAAAACAAGATTGAACTGTTTGTCCCATCCTCTGGAGATAACCCAACACCAGTTTAAATTATTCATGCAGGTCACAACTGTGGCAAAGCAAGCCATAGAAAAGGTTTGGAAATCTCCCCAACTCAGTGCCCCCCGAAACTAAAGGGTTACCCAGGCAATGATATATGCCAAAGTCAAGGCAGTCCTCATGGATGGGGTAAGTATGAAAGTTTGTGGAAACCATGGGTGGACCACTATCTACCAGCAACTTTGAAGAGATGCTTTTATCTCCATGACTTGTATGTCGGCACACGTCTCTGGAATTTCTCACTGGGATGTCTTGTTTGCCCCCTCCCCTGATACTTTATCATCTTGTCCTCTGTTGCGATTCCTCTTCTTTCCTTTATTTCCCCCACGCATCACATTTGCTTCCATCAACACCAGACGCCCACCTCTTAGGATGTTGGTACTGAAAGATCCACCTGGTACACAAGATTATGTTCCCATTAGGTTACGG